CCTTGGGATTTTTTATTAAAGCTGGAACAATAGAAGCAGCATGAATGGGTGTAGTCAGGATCCCACAGAACCGGGGTTTTAGTTTGGTTTCAACAGTTGTCTGTGGAATCTCTCTCTCTCTCTCTCTCTCCCCACCCCCCTTTTTCTCCCTCTCTCTTGCTCACTCTCACTTTCTGCTACAACCTAAATGTTTGAGTCTTCACTCTCTGCCAGAATCACATGTGAAAAAAATCTATTTTACTCACTTTGTCTTTGCCAAGGGTGTGTTTGTGGAATGTTACTATATTGGAACAGTTGCTGTTTAGTTGTTAAATAGTCCACTATTCTGTTAAGGTTTTCAATAACGTTAAGGTTATACTAATTATTCTTTCTTTTGTTTGTGTATTACCTATAGGGTAAGATAATGTGTGTTTTGCGTAAAGCAGAGTAGTGTAACCAATTGGATTACATCTGGAAAAACAGCAACTTACCATTGCTTTTAAAAAAGATAAAAGTTAGGGTCTTGGCTATCTTATTGATATATTTGAGGGATTTTGGTCTGGTCCATAACAAGAGTGAAGTTCTACCGAGGTGCTCCCGGCATAAGAGTAAAGCTCCTATGTATTACATGCCACCCGTATTGGACACTGAGTTGGAGGAACTTGAGCTGGTGCTAAAATGCCCCAGGAGGCATGTCCAAGGACTCAGAGGGAGAGGGATGTAGTGATTGCAATGAGGTCATCCAAATGGACCTCATAGAAAATGAGTTCCTTGATTGGGGCTGTTAATCTAGTCCAATCAGGGAGTCCTAGTTGACATAAAAAAGGGGAGTGTCAGAGATACTGCCACTCTGATAGCTAACTCTGAAGAGGCAGTACTAACGTCAAGGACTGTTCATGTGTAAATAAAGGGTGACTTGGTGACGGGATACCAGCCTCTGGGGAGTTATTTCAAGAATCATTACAGAAATTAGGAATCTGGACAGACTAGATGGGGAGAACAGTGCTGTTTGATGTATTAATAGCAAACTAGGCAGCACAGTTTTAAGGTAACTAGCAAAAGAAACAATGGTGACAGAAAGAAAAATTTTGTCATTGTTAAAGTGGTTAAGATCTAGAATTCATTGTCTGAGAACCAAATAGAGGGAGAGGTATTTGAGGCTTTTTAAAAATTATTGTCACCAATGCACTTTTTCTCCTAAAAGTGCATATTTTATTTTGGTGTGATGGCCTCTCAGTTCATCTGGGATACAATTTCATGATACAACAACTAACTGTCAGTAAATGATCATGTGACCAGGTTGCCTGGGAAATAAACAAGAGGGAGCAATTCGTCAGCATAAGTTAATTATGAGGATCTGATTCTATTTGGAAGCCGTTCAAATTTCAGAACAAGCTGGGTGAAGGAGAGAAGGCATTCTTCTTAAACAGTGGCCAGTCAAAATCTTGTGTGATGGCTAAAATAATTAAAAATCTTGTTAACTGTAGGACTCCTAATGGTGAGTTGAATTTCATGGATAGCCAAGGATGGCGTGTGCATACACGTGTGTGTGCAGGTGTATGTCTGTATCTGTACATAAACAGCTTGGCTAAATACGCAGCTACTACTGATGTCAACACTTTAGGACTACAGATGGAATGGTGGGGACCTAGGGAAAGGCAGTGATGGATCATCCATTTCACATTTCTGCTTGACGATAATTGAAAATGCTTCTGCCCTGTCTTTTGTAACAGACCAATTGCTGCTCACCCATTATTCTTGCTGACCTATTATGCACTTATCTGATTAAACCTTTGATCACTCCTAATCCTTTGATTTCTGCACGATGACATTAAATGAACTGTGTTCTGTGTATCACATCAGCAGCAGATATTTAGGAGTTGGTAGTGCTAAATTGTATGTTTCATGCAATTCTAAGTTAATGTGAGAAGAAAGATGCAGGTTTGATTTTAACTGCTTAAGGAACATTAGTTATTGCGTGGCTATATAGCGAACTTAATACTTCCTTGACCGACAGATAAAAGACTAACTTGACACCATCCCAAAAGTAGAATGCATTCAGTACACAAGATGCAAGTATTCTTTCTGTGATAAGTAAAGTTATTGCTACACTATAATTGCTTAAAGCAGAATACATGGGAACATTTTCTCTGAAAGAACCTTTGTGTTCTTTTATGTCTCACTGTTCTTCAAAGACCCTTTGTTCTGGTGTGATAGTGCAGATGACCTTGAAAGCCTGTGGATACAGTCTTTCCCTGCTTTACAAAACATGAACAAAGATGTCTTTCTAAGAATTTAGACATGATTATGATTTGCCTAATTTTAATCTCTTAACTAGACAGTCATTGAAATAATAATGTGGGCTCCATTTATTTCCAACTATTAGTTTTCCTAGACAAAAGATTCAGTAACATATTTAAAAGGCATACAGTTTAATGCAGGTACTTTGAGTAATGAACTGGAAATGAAGGAATAACAGCTAAGACACATGTAACTAGGATAAGCTGATTGTTGATAGAAAAATTAATTGTTTTTTTCATTAATAATTGTTATACATGCATTTGTCATCGTTGTTTTAGTCTTAATGCCAAAATTAGTGCTATAGGATATGAGATGATTTGAGGAGCCTATATTATACTGTATGGCCTAGGAAATGCATGTTAGAATAGAATGTGTTTTGTAAACAGAATTTTCAGCAAACATATATGAAGGTGCATTTTTTTGAATTATTTACTTGAGACTACTGGTGAATGTGCAGGTATTGTTAAGTTTCATTGCTTGAGAAATGAACCAAATTAAAAACCTTTCCACAACCTAGACTGATTTTTCTAACAGTGGTGCTGGACAGAGAGTTCATAGCTTTTTTATGAACAGCACTCGGTAGGGCAGCTTTAAGTGATGGGATTGTCAGACTGAGTGCTAGAAAGAAGAAAAAGAGAGAGATGAAAGCTTTTCTTGTATTATGCCTCAATGTTACCATGGTAACTTCCAGGCTGCATGGACACTCAAGCCATTTCATAACCCTGAGTACGTATAGTATGGAAACTGCTGGTATGTAAAGCAGGTTTTTCAACCAGTGTTGTTTCAAGAGAGCAATGACATTCTCCATTTAATGCCTATCTAATTTGGTAGAATGATTATTCCATTGAAAATATGTTGGATGTGTGACAATTGTCTGTCTTTTTTGTAAATAAAGAAGATATACATATTACAGACATGCCATCTACGTTGAATTATATTGCAAAAAGATGAACACCTTGTTTCATACTATAGAATTGGACAAGTGATTCTACTTCTCTTGCTTCAGCATCATGAAAGGAACACAGTGATGGATTATGGATATTGCTGCAATTATGATATTTGACTTCCTTCATTGTTCAAAATTGTGAAGTGATTGTTTGTTAGGTAGCACTGTAGTGCATGTGTATTTATGTCTTAAATAAATCATTTATATATATATATATATATATCATGTATATATGTTGTAGGATGAAAAGTTAGGGAAAGTACCACACTTTTCACACAATAATCTAATTATTCTCAATGACACCCCAGCCCTAAACTGATATAACAATGCCATTTATAATTACCCATTGTTATTTTTAAGATTAATGAGGCACAAAATACATGTGGATTAGTTTTTTTCTGACCTGCATAAGTTTGTGCCATTCTCAATAGTTGCTTCTGTATGGAGCCAATCTTCTTTTCAACACTGCTGGGGTCAAGTTAACAATTGATAGTAAGCCATTGCTACTGATTTGTGCATTGGCTATTTTGTTTAACAATCGCTCCTGCTACAAAGTCTGGTTATTTTCTCTTGACATGGAGGGCCCTTGACTGATTTTCAACGTAGAACCAAATGATAAATTATACTTTCAAATCTTATGATTGAACTTTGGATTTGGCATTTGTTCAGCTCAATTGATTAAAATATGACTGCGGTAAGATTAATGTCCATGGTGCAGAACACAATATGGTGATTCCACTAGTTAAAAGCCAAATATTTCAGTTTAAATGTTTGGAGAAATGCAAGTTATTTTTTTTAAACAAAAGAAACAGATCTGAATTTAAAACATTCAACTGCTACCTATTCTGTATATTAATTTGCATCATTTATTAAATCCTTATAACATTTATTGGGTATTGTTGATAAAACTGGTGAATACAAAATTCGTACGTGGTCTACTTGTGTTTCTAAGCGTGAACCTGTTGCTGTAAATGAACAGTGCCCTGAAATTAAAATCAAACAGCATGGAAGTTCCATAGCACGAAAATTGTGCTGGTGGAAAATTTTAATTTTGCATTTTTAAAAATTCACACTGTAAAATCTAACTATAAAATCTATCACAGGATGTTATAATATTGTTAGTTTTTTTTGTTATTATGTAATTAAAATGAATGAAATAGCTTAATTTTCCCAATCAATTTGATGATGACAATTCCAAAGATTTTCTTAAACTAATATGTACATCAGTGAGCACTAATTGCCTTGTGTCCCTTGTTGATTCTTTGGATTGATCTTCCATGTTTGCTGTAAATTTAGCTGTTTAAAGAAACATGTTTATGAGGAGCTGCATCTCTAATTATCTTCAAGTGTTGGTAATTTTGCATAGAACTAGTTAACTTGTTTCATGGCAACAAAAAACACAAATGTTTTGAGAGAAATTGCTCATGCCTTAACATGGAACTTGCTTGATTTCCAGATTTTACAGACTACTTTGAAGTATCATACATAATTGTACTTTAGGTTGTCTGCTTTTCAGAATGCTAGTTGTGGGAAAATGTCCATTGAAAATGAAAACATTTTGAGGCTAGCAGGAATATACTTGTGAAAAGGTACTCAGTTGAGAAATTCAATATAATTTTTTTATTAATGTCATCTATGTTGTTAAAATTCAAAATCAAAATATAAATTGTCAAATAAATGCCTTACAATTGATTTTGGCACAATCGTCTGCCTTAAGGGCACCTAGTTTGTTAATTCCCTTTTAAATAACTTTTCTTTTAAATATAAAAATCAGGGCTGGAACACTGTGCATGTTTGCTGCTAACCAAAATCTCACCAACAAAATTAAAAGAGTTAAGGAGTTGGTCAACAATAACTTCCAGGACCTACACTCTCTGCTTGATTACACACCAATGGTAAGGAAGATTTTGCCTGTGTATAATGCTAAAATTTTATGCATTTCTAATGAAATGTTATTTACGCAAAAGTAAGTAATGTTTTTTTTAATTTCAGCAACTAAATTACATTACACAACAATACAGCATTGCTAAGAACAACGCACTCTCTGATATTAACAGTAAGTAATCTTTTTTGTTTAATTCTGCTAAATAAACCTATAACCTTCTGTTTTACTGGACATTATGCACCTCAGTGCTCAATGTCTTAGACATTAGTTATTATACAGGATCATTTCATTGGCATATCAGTTTTCATGAACAAAATCTTTTGTTCTTTACAATAGTTTTAGTTATGATCGATGTAACTGCCAGTGCCACCCTCAAAAATGTTCGTTTGCTGTACCTCACCTAATAAGAATTGCTTTTCGAAAACAAATTTCAAGTCGATCTTTTTGATGCTGACCTTAGATTGTTAAAGGGAATGAAAATAAGAGTTCAAGAGATTATTTCCAGCAAGAGTTCCATAAACATGAGGGAATCATGTCTGCATTGGCTTGGAGACTTAACCATTTTTTCCTCCTGAGGTCAGTTGATAAGAAATCATTCTTTTCATGTAATGGCATACATACCTCTCAAGTTATTATGTGAGCAGTTTACAAGAAACAATTAAAAACTTGTATTGTTGAAATCAAAGAGAAAATGATTGTGATTAGTAGCTGATCAGCCAGAATCTGTAAATAGGAGAAAGAACAAACATACCAACGGAAGAACGACACAATAAGAACAAAAGTAGATCATTCAGCTACTCAAGTCTGCTCTGCCATTCAGTAAGATCATGGCTGATCTGTTTGTGTTTTAAATTCCACATTTCCATTTATCTCCAATGACCTTTGAGTCCTGTGCCCAACAAGAATCTATTCACTTCTTTCCTAAAATATTGAATATTCAATATTTAATATTTGATTGAAGTTTCAAAGGCACATAGCCTTCTGAGAGAAAACAAATTTCCCAATCTTTGTCCTGAAAGAATGATCCCTGACTTTAAAACAGTACCTAGTTCTGGATTCATCCACAAGAGGAAACATCCTTTCAATGTTCACCTTGTCAAGACCATTCAGTGTCTTATTCACCTCAACGAGGTCACCCCTTACCTTTCTAACTCCAGTGGAAACAAGCCCAGACTGTCTAGTTAATCCTCATTGGACAACCATTCATTCCAGGCATTGAAGTAGTAAACCTCCTCTGAACTGTCTCCAATGCATTTACATCGCTCCTTAAATAAGGAGTCAAAAATTTACACACAGTATTCAAGATGTGGTGTCACCAATGCTCCATTTAACTGAAGCAGAACGTCCTTACTTTTATGTTCAATTCATTTCTTAATAAAGGACAGAATCCCATTATTCTTCTTGATTATGTGCCTTCCCTGCATACTAACCATTGTGACTCATTGACCAGAATACCTAAATCTCTCTAAACCTTGGAATTCCCGCAGTCATTCTCCATTTAAGTAGTAGTTTTTTTAAATTCTTCTTGCTAAATTGAATAACTTCACAATTATACTCCATCTGCCAGATTTTTTGCCCACTCACCCATCAACAATAAACTTTTAAATGACGCATTATAAAATATCTTTGGTAAATCCAAGTATAGTATGTTGTTATGATGCACTGCGGAAGTGCACTAGAAATCAATTATTGCAATTCCAGGAATCATCACAAAAGTTAAAGATGTTAAAATAAGTGCAAAGGCTCCCCAAAGTACTGGGTTGTCAGACACAGGTTGATAGAAAGCACAGACCAGGATTTGGTATTTGAGAAGAACAACTAAGTATTACAAGTAATTAGACTTTAAATACAGGTTAACAGACAGCGAAAATAGGTTTCAGCAGAGGAAAACTAGGAGGCAATTCAGTGGTTTCTATTAACATGTTGGTGAGATGACCCTAATGATGAGATGATCTTAAGATGGTCAGAACACTGCTTTCCATTCCTCTTTCTTCAGATTTTTCCACTGGTTTGTTAGCGACACAAAGTGGCTGGTTTGCCTATAAAATATATAACTTATCAGTTAAAATTCACAGCTCAGAATGATTGCTGAAGGAATGAAAAACTGGTTTTCTTTAGGCTTAAAATGGGTTTTGACAGTAGAGAACAGAGAGACAGCTCCTGTGCTGGTGCAGATGAAAACATTCATTCAGTCCAGGCTGTTCAGTGACCTGAGAGCCAATCACAAGGTTATTGGCAGGCAGAAGGCTATTGTTATCAATAACTGGTTACTAGTCCATAGACCAATCAACTTTTTGTTGGCACCCAGCTGTATCTGTACTCAGAAATCGTAAGCTCCAATTCACCTTTAACCACTTCAACTATTGCTTGTTCAAATAGCTGTTTACATAATGTTCCCATGAGTGTCAGATTACTTGCTTTTCAGCCATGGTTGCCCCTTAGTTTGTTTTTTTCTTCCTTGGGATGAATTTCTGCTGTGCCTCTTGATTTACCCCAGAGACTCCAGACATTGCTGCTCCACTGTTTTCCCTGCTAGGCTCCCCTTCCTATCAACTCCGGCCAGCTCCTCCCTTATGTCTTTGTAGTTACCTTATCTCAATTGTAATACTGTTACATCTGATTCCAGCTTCTCCCTCAAGCTGCAAGGTGAATTCTATTGTCTAATGGTCTTTCACCTTAAGTTTCCTAATCAAGTCTACCTCATTACACATCATCAAATCCAGAATTGCCTGTTCCCTGCTGGGCTCTACCATAAGCTGCTCCAAAAAACTATCTCATAGACATTTCACAAATTCCTTCTCTTGAGATCTGCTGTCAAATTGATTTGCCCAGTCCATCTGGATATTGAAGTCTCCCATGATTATTGTAATAGTGCCTTTCTATCTCCTGATTCATTTTTTTCCCCACATCTTGATTACTGGTTGAGAGACCTGTAAATAATTCCCATCAGGTTCTTTTTCCCTTTGTGTACCTCAAACCTTATAGAGGCTTATAAAGTCATCAGGAGCATGGATAGGTGAATAGCCAAGGTCTTTTTCCCAAGAGTTGGAAATTCCAAAACTAGAGACCATAGGTGTAAGGTGAGAGGGGAAAGATTTAAAAAGGACCTGAGGGGTAACGTTTTCATGCAGAAAGTGATGCGTGTATGCACCGAGCTGCCAGGGCAAGTGTTGGAGACAGATTTCTAGAATCATGAGTTCAAATCTTAAGATGACACCTGCAGAAATTTAACTAATTAAATCGACAGTATCCATAATCAAAAGTGTCAATAATTGTGGCCATGAAACTATTGGAGGAGTTTACTCTTATGGTTCACTAATGTTCTTCAGGTAAAAAAAACCTGCTGCCCTTATCTAGGCTAGCCTATTTGGAACCCTTAACTTCCCTTCGCTATTATATCCACATCTATATATTTTTCATCACTTAGGGAAATCTTTAAAATGTTCTAATGGTAATATTTCTAATTTCAGTTTGAGGCAAGGGCATTTACTTCTTAACAAAGATTAAGTTATGCTAACCATCACTGATGTAGTAATAGCCTGGCTTTGCAAGTTTCTCTGTTTCATCGTAAGGCAATTGATAATAAATACGAGGCTTATTGACAAAGTCCATGTCCCACCAATGAATTAAAAATAAATATCTCTTAAATCAAGGTTTTTAAAAGTAGATCCATCATGTATCTATGTGATAGGCACTTGTGTACAATGTTCAAAACTTGTTAATCTCAAATGCATTTAATTATATCTATACAATACAGTTTTATGCAATAATATGAAATAAACTTGTTATACTTTACCACATCATTGATCAATAAAAATTGTACGAAGCAATGTTTGCATCATGTTGGTTTTTCAGTCCTTCTGTAGCTACTATGTTGATATTGGTATTCCATATCATAATTGTGAAAAATATTCATAGTATTATATTCTGGCTGTCCACATTTGGTCCAAACAAGAGCAATTTGAAATTAAAATCCTCAGATTTGGATTTTTCCCCTCATTTGTACTTGGCAAAATATAATTTTCAATTCAGATGTATCCATATTTCCACATGGTATTTTGTGTATTCAATTTGAAGTATAAAAGTGACTTATGTTTTGTGGCTTTGACTGTCTTGTCCCTCAAAATTTGGAAAAGAGAATTTCATTTAATTTTGGAATTTTAAGTGCTTTCAGATGGTAGGTGGTTAAGATGCACATCAACTCCAGCCTTTAATTTCTATTAACTTTAAATTGGAAATTCATTTACCTGTCTTGCATTTATATAAGGCTCATGATCCAATTATTCTGACTATAAATAGAATGTAATTAAAATAAATGTTAACTGGGACATAGGTTGGATGCGAAAAGATATGCACTACAGGCAAGCAATTGAAGAAAAAGCAATGAAGGCTTTCACCATGAGCTTGGAAAGACTGGTGGAACAGTGAGATATGATTGATGTGGGAAAGAGTAGCATGTAGCTATCTTGAAGACACTTTCCATTTAATAATGGTTGGAGGTCTTAATGGGCTGTAATGCAATGCTTGGCAGGTACAATTGAGGTATTTAAGAGGATGTTAGATGGTTATTTGAATGGCAGACTTTGCTGACACCAGAACTTTGGTGTAAATGTGCATAAGTGCTCGTACAGCAGCATGCATCCGCACACTTTAAAGCACTGTATATCATTGCGTCATGTCACTACGAACATGCACAGAAAAGGGATAGCCTTGAAATGGAAACGAATGGAGTCCAAGGGGAAATGATGGACGGGGGTGGGGAGAGGGTAAGGAGAATGGTTTGAGGTGGAGGAGGAAAATGAACGGAAGAGGATGGGGGTGGAGAACCAACTATGAGTGAGGGAGAATGGGCCTTGTCAGACCTCTCTCCTCCTGCCCACCTGATCCCTTCGCCCCCACGCCCAATCACTTCCTCCCAATCTGATCTCTTCTCCCATTATCTGATCTCTCCCCACTACTCGATCTGTACCAGCCCACCTGATCTTCAAAGATAAAAATAGTTAAAAATTATTTACAAAAGATATCCTAAAGAGTAACCAAAATCTGAAAGTGTTTTCAAACTTAGCATGCTGCAGACATGTTTCTAAATACAAAAATGCGCATATGGACGCTTTTCAATAAGTCTCATTACTAGTGCAAGCGTAAGTATCTCCCGAAGGCATACTGTGCAT